AGGTTGCTTCCATTTCTTGGCTATTATAAATAGTGCTATGATAAACATAGGGGTGCATTATGTCTTTTTGAGACTGGCTCCTGCATTCTTAGGGTAAATTCCTAAGAGTGGAATTCGTGTGTCAAATGGTATTTCTATTTTACGTTTTTTGAGGAACCTCCATACTGCTTTCCACAATGGTTGAACTAATTTACATTCCCACCAGCAGTGTAGGAGGGTTCCCCTTTCTCCACATCCTCACCAACATTTGTTGTTCCTATTCTTTTCTAAGTTGGCCATCCTAACTGGTGTGAGGTGATATCTCATTGCAGTTTTAATTTGCATTTCCCTGATGATTAGTGATGTGGAGTATCTTTTCATGTGCCTGTTGTCCATCTGAATTTCTTCTTTGGAGAATTGTCTGTTCATATCTTCTGCCACATCATATATGTGGAATCAAGGTTTACCCATGTTTTAGTAGGGTTATTTGCTTTTTGGGTGTAGAGGCATATGAGTTCTTTATATATTTTGAATGTTAACCCCTTATAAGATAAGTCATTTAGGAATATATTCTCCCATACTGTACGATGTCTTTTTGTTGTGCTGATAGTGTCCTTTGCTGTACAGAAGCTTTTCAGCATGATGTAGCCCCATTTGTTCATTTTTTATTTTGTTTCCCTTCCCGAAGAGGTGCGTTCAGGAAAAAGTTGCTCATGTTTATATTCAAGAGATTTTTGCCTCTGTTTTCTTCTAAGAGTTTTATCATTTCATGACTTACATTCAGGTCTTTGTAAGTGTAAATTTTTTATAATGTGGTAGCCACTATGCAAAACAGTATGGAGCTTCCTTAGAAAATTAAAACTAGAGCTCCACAGGATCCAGCATCCCACTTCTTGGTACATACACAAGAGAATCGCAATCAAGATCTCAAAAAGATATTTGCATTCCTGTGTTCATTGCAGTACTAGTCACAATAGCCAAGAACTGGGAACAGCCTAAATGCTACATGTCCATTGACAGATGAATAAATCAACTGTGATTACATATTATAATTTCTTCTGATTCAAAAAAGGTGATTCTTCATTTGCAACAACATGGGTAAACCCTGAGACATTGTGCTCAAGGAAATAAGCCAATCCAGAGAGACTAATACTGTGTGATTTCACATATATGATGTACCTAAAAGAGTCAAATTCATAGAATTGTAGGGTGGAATGCTGGCTGCCATGGGCTGGCAGGAGAGGAGATGGAGAGTTACCAATCAAATAGTATAAAGTTTCAGTCAAGGATGGTGAATAAACTCTAGACATCAGCTGTACAGCATTATGCCTACAGTCAATGATAATTTATTACAAAGTCTTGTTAAAATAGTATATCTCATGTTAAGCATTCTTTCCATGATAAAAATTTGTCCTTAGAGACAAAACTATGAAGTGGGAAAATGGAAATACTATTAGATTCTTGATACTCTACATCAAGACCTAATTCCCCTTAAATTACTTGGTCATTTGAATGCATTTGATGATGATAAACTCACATGTTATTGTATGTTTACTTAACTAATAGGTCTTAATTTTGTATTAAGAAGTATGAAACTTAAAAGTCAGTGTAAGGGAAATTAAAGTTCCTATGGCCAGTCCTCACTTGAACCTAAACTACGTATGATGTACTTGACCTACTGCTCAGCTTCTGCTTCCACACCTGTAGGCAATAAGTCATACTGACTGAGTCACCATAGAAAGAGGTCTGCCCAGTGCCCTGTGAAGATGCAGAGGTGGAGAAGCATTTCAGACCTGCACACTGTTGGATGAAGATTCTCAACCTATTGCCAGGAGAATAAAGCTGAGTAATAAATGCTTTTATCCCAAGAATGTTCCATTGTCATTTCTCGGTCTCGCTGAATTCCTAGGGAACCTGCCCAGGGCTGAAATCCCAGGCAAAAGAGCCAGAAAGAAGAATATGTAACTTGGTTCAGCCACTATGAAAAACAGTTTAGATATTTCTCAAAAAACTAAAAATAGAAATACCATATGCCCCAGTCATTTCTACTTCTGGGAGTTTATCCAAAAACACAAAATCACCAATTCAAAAAGGTGTATGCATTCTTACGTTTATCACAGCATAACTTACAATAGGTAAAATATGGAAGCAACCTTGGTGTCCATTGATAGATGAATGGCTAATGAAGAAGTGGTACTACATGTACACAATGGAATATTACTCAACCATGAGAATGAATGAAATCTTGCAATTTGCAACAACACGGATAAACCTAGAGAGTATTATGCTACATGAAATATTTCAGACACTGAAAGAGAAATACCATATGATTTCACTTATCTGTGGAATCTAAAACCTAGAACAAATGAACAAATAAAACAGAAATGCACTCTATAAATACAGAGAACATTCTGGTGATTGTCATGGGGGCAATTGGTGTGAGGACAGTCAAAACAGGTTAAGGGGATAAAAAGGTACAAACTTCCAGTTATAAAATAAAATAGTCATGAGGTAAAAAGTACAGCATAGGGAATACAGTCAACAATATTGTTATATCTTTGTATGTTCACAGACGGTAGCTACACTGCTCGTAGTGATCACTTAGTAATGTATATAATTTTCAATGTGCTGCTGTACACCTGAAACCAATCTGATATATTGTATATCAAGTATATTTCAATTAAGAAAAGAGGAGGAGTATAGGTGAGATTCCTCTCAAAAAGTAGAAGCCTCAGGCCCTGCAAAGGACACCTACTTTTCCTACAACTCTGTTCTGTTACTACTAACAAGTCCTCAGAGATGGGGAACACTAGGACTCATTTGGCTAATTGTGAGCTCCGAGCATTGAGCGTGCAAACCCACACAGCTGTAAATAACCAGCCTGTGCTCTGTGACCTTTCAGGTTGCTGGTCCCAGGACAGGTCTGCATGTGAGACCTCTCTCCTCAGAGTCACTGTCTGAATCAAGGGGTCCCTGTCAGTCCTGAGAACCGAGCGGCAGCCGCCAGCACCCCCAGGCACCAGAAGGGCCCTGGTTCATCTCTCCTTTGTCATGTCCCAGCACAGAGGCAGTTCTGTCCAGTGAGTGCCGCTGGGGGTACCGGCTACAGGGGGAACTGGGGTCGCAGGTACGTGTCATCAGGAGAAGCAGGCAGCTGGAGCAGCCAGATGGGAGGGTGCCAGTATGCAGCGTCAGCGCAGACAGTCATGATGTGTATGCCCTCGGCTCTGCTGCTGGGCATCAGCTTGCATTCGGAGTCCTGCCTTATTCCCACTCTGTTCCCAGCCCTTACAGGCATCTCTCTCACCACACTGAGAAATCAGTCCCTCTCAGCTCTCTCCTAAGGATACGGTGTGATCATGAGGGTGATGACAAAGGAGAACGAGGCCGGGTGAGCGCGGACGTGACACCGTGGCGCTTGAGTAGATTCCCAAGGGCCAGGCTGTGAATGGAGTGCTCTGTGTTATCTGTCTAGTCACCCCTAAGGTATATGTGCCCTGTTATCATTCTTCCAGAGAGGATGAAGGGATGACAGACTGTCAGTGTAACTGTTCCTGATCATGAGAGAGAACGGGATGAAGCCCGGCTGGAGTCAAAGAGTCAGGCTGGTGACGCAGGGCGCCCAGCCAGTGGCCATCCCTTGCCAATGAAACCCGCCATTTCACTTCTCTGCTTACTCCACACAGACACCCTCTGCCCACCGTGCTCTTGTCTTTGGAGGTCACTGGCAGGCCTCTGTGGGTGAAGGTGGCACTTGCTGCATATAGTAGAGGAAGGCTCACTGAGATGGCCAGGCGGGACCGCAGTAAGAGCTGGCTCATGAATTTAGGGCCGATCTCTCTCAGGCACCTACTCCTGGATTTAGCCTAGGCTGTCCACTTCCTCCTCTGTTCTCTCAGTTAGCCCTCCACCATGTCAAAGGGAAACAGAAGGTCACTGTATCCAGTTCCCTCCGCACTCAGGAAACCAGAACCTATGGGAAGATGCCCATAAGTGGGTTACTGATTAACACCTCCTAACCTCTGATATAATCTTTCTAAATTTTAACGCAGTAAAGAAGTTAACTGCATGCGCCTCTGCAATATAATTTTAAGTCCCATCTGCCATGCTTATTAACTAGTTACAAGAAGCAAGTTCTTACTATCACTGAGGGTCAACATTGTCTTTTCAGTTGATTCCTAGTTGATACCATTGAGGAAGGACTAAATAGATGATGAATAGTACCTATGTGATTAAACATATGATGGATGCATACAACAGGCAGAAAATGTAGGGATTATAATTCTTAGTAGCGAATGCACTAATCTTTATTACATTCATCCAAAGTATATGGTGATCGGATGGGTGGCTTCATTTTCAATGGACATCTGACAAAACATTTTCTTTTTGTCCCCAGACAACTGGATACTGAGTACTTGGAGGGAAATGACTGAGTCACATTCATTTCTGATTCCCCAGAGCTTACATCATCTTTGGAACAGTGCTGGCAACAACAACAACAAAAAGTTAAATACTGAATAAATCCTTCCTTGGTTCACAGAAACAGAGCACAGTCCTTACAGTTTGCATACCCTGTTTCTTTCCTGGTTTTGTCTTTATTTCAGGGGTGCCCTGCAGGACAAGAGACGTAGTGAAATGGTACTGGTTTGTGTCTATGCCAGGAAACCAAAGAAAAATGACAACTCATGAGGATAACTGGTACATCGAATAAAAACCTTCTGATGATAAATATTTGACTTTAATTGAGAATGCAGATAATATAGTTCTACCAGTGATAGCTTATCAATATTCTAAATCAGTGGAATTGCTTGCACTGTATTTGAATGACAGAAGGCTGCTTCTTTCATTAAAACATCCTTTAATTGGAATGATTCTTTTTCCTTGAGGGGGAAGAACACTTCTTATTCAATGTGTTTCCTTAAAAAAGCAGGCTTGTATTTTATTGCCTTTTATTTTCAACAATGATTACTTGAACTTAAAAAAAATGCCTTTATTAACTAATGGTTTCTGAAAAGTCAGTCCTACCCAGCCCACTTCATATTCTCTTTTAACCATTTCAGGGCAGAACAATGTTCCAAATTATAAACCTGTTCCTTATTAACACTGACGGTCATGTGTTTAATGAAAAGCTTTGGATCCTATATACGAGCAGCCATTATTAATCTTTCACTGCAGCTTGGTAATCATCCTTGCTCCGAGATTTGTTTTCTTCACATCTTTTCAAAACTATATGCAACATCTGTGTTCCAGGACTCTGAATACTACTAGCATTAGATAAGAGGAAGATTTCTATAGCTAAAAGCATTTCAATCTCATATAAATAAGATGGCATCAATAGAAGTTTTCGGTATAAATTTCCCTCCAGTGGTGGGTAGAAACCCATTGAAAGAGCACTTTTATAGTGGGCTCTGGCTTTGAGCCATAAACAACTTCTTCCTAAAGAAGTAATTAATCTTCTAAGAAAGGAAAAATCGATAGGGATGCTCTTTGAAATCATGAATTCTGCTACAGAAGATGACATACCAAGATTGTTGCTTTCTATACAGGTATCTAGAAGTTTATTAAAAAGAAGGCTATACTGTGAGACCTCCACAGTTTCTTGAGAATTTAGGAAACCTGGTAGATTTTGCAAAGCTTCAAATGTCTGTCTGTAAAGGCTCTTGGCTAAGAATTCGTGTGCAATTGTACAGAGCAGATTATGTCGATTGAGTACATCCAGTCTGTCACCAGGTCACAGTGGTGTACTGATTATACGGTCTGACTCCCTTAGTACCCAAATGGCACCATCTAGGCTTCCACTGTCTAGAAAAATTTCTGCTGCAATATTCACAGTTTGACATCTTGGTGCTAACTTCTTGGGTCCTGTAAGTCCTTTTAAACTTGTAAAATGTATTTTTAATTCATAAAGTTTATCTAAAACCTTCCTTCCCTTGGACCACCACAACAGCTTGTGATAGAAGTACATAACACTGATTCCGATTCTTCCCAGAAAAGCTTTATCTACTTCACTGTTTTGTGAACCTTTGGTAACTGTTTCAGCAAATTCACAAAATGGTAACACTTGGTCTCTCATCTTCACTGTCTTTTGTAAAGTGTTTCAGCAATACAAGCACAAAATCTTTGGAAATTTGCAAAGTTTTCACAGCTCATTTTTATGTTAATGTATAAACTTCCTGATTTGTTCCAGTCACCTTTTTCTTTACAATGCTCTATTTCATTCAAGGCTGAATCTAAAGCACACTTCCAGTTCTTTTTAAATTGCCTCATTTGCAACCTGGATTCCAAATCCAGATCTGCAGTTATTTCTTGTTTGGAAGGCTGTACTTGGCATAAAAGCTTAGTGTAGTTAAGGTGTTCTGGGTCAAACACCATCCCAGCTTCAATAAGCTTGCAAAGGATATCAATTAAAGGAGGCACAGCATTCCTTAATGTTATAGATGCCACATGCTCAAATATTTCTAGTAATATTTTCAGAGCAGGCAGCATTTTAACCATTATGCTGAGGTTCACTACCTGAAATACTTATTTCAATAAACAATGTTTGAGTAAAGAATTTAGAAGATCATTTAGCACTTGTAAATCAAAGTGTATACCTGGAGGAAACTTTCTGTAGTACTCCATAAATATATTTACTGCACGTTGCAGCAAACACAGCTCATTGATACTTATGTACTTCTTAAAACACATCCGTGCAAACCTTTTCACCCCCTTGCTCAGGCACATGAGCAAACTTGCATTGTGATCGCTCACAGCCACGTAATGTATTAAAATGAAATTTGCAATACCTATGAGGTATCATCAACCCTAGGGGTTTCTGAAACACCTCTACATTTTTTTCCCTCTTGATGATCTCATAAGTTTCAGAATTCTGCAGCTTTAGAAGAGAATGTTTTCCTGGAAATCTGAAATCATTCATCCAGGGTTTCAGTAATGTGTCTTCTTGATGAGCATTTAGATGAGCATTAGATTCATGAGAATCTGAGAAGCACAGAGGTTTTGGGCCCAGCGCTGCTAATTCACATTCACCAACCACAATATCTGTATTTTTAGAATCTTTGCTTTTGCAAACTTCATAACTATTTTCTTTTTCTTCTTTAAGAGTTACCTTGTCTGAAAATCTACTCTTTTCATCCAAGTCTGAAACTGTTATCTTTTCACTGAAGTCTCCTGGCTTTTCATTTTCAGAGGTCTCATCCGTAACTTCTCCTAAAGAAATGTTTGTACCTTTGGAATCATGTTTTAACTCATTTGCTGCTGAGAAGGAAGCACTGATCTCTGACC